CGACCAATACGTTACCTTCTTATTTTGCTTTTGTTGGAAGTCCACTGTCCTCAGCCATTCTTTCTTATGTTGGAAATATTTGTTCAAGAAATACATTTCTATTTTGAACGACAGCCTCCAAAATTCCCTGGCTGGTAGTGGCCATGGTGACTAGGGCGTTCTGGACATTATAGCCCAGAGACTTTTCCAAATTCTGCTTTCTTGCAATTTGAACCCCTCAGTTTTGAGTTGTACTCTCAACAGCAGCAGTAAACTCACTCCACTGCCACTATGAAAACCCTTCAGATCCTTGAAGATGGTCGTCATATTGCCTTGCAGTCATCTCCTCTTCAGGTTAAACACTTCCATCCTTTTGTCTTTCTTCTGAACACTTGATCTAATCCCATTTTCTGGGTTTTTTTCTTCTTCTTAAATTGCTAGGAAATTGGTGTTACTTCAGGTGGTGCCATTATCCCTGATTCCTACAATATAGTTGATGGTGCAGTTTGAAATGGTATTGGGGCACTTTGCCACTGCAGCACTCCATTGGCCATCTTTCGGGGTGCAATTTTCCTGCTTCTTAGTGGGGGGCTGGACTGGATGGCCAACGAGGTCTCTTCCAACTCTATGATTCTAAGATTGCCTCACATTGAGCTTGTGATTGTTTCCCTCCTTTCAACGTGTTCTGTTTTCAAGCCAGGTGCCACCCAACTTGTTTCTAATAAAAAATGTTCCAGCATCTCCTTGCTTACATTTTTTATGGCCAGTGGGTCTTACCCAAGGAAAAGAAGCTTGCAGCAGGAACAGTGCACCAAGACAAAGGGAGGGAAGGAGTGGGGATTGAAAGGGCCAGTTTTTGTTACTGAGTGGGTTTCTCCATCTGGGAGCGTCTTGGGTCAATGCGAGCCCTGAAGCTGCTGATGAGGTTGCAGCACTGACTGATTTGAGGGCGATGGCTTGATTTGCTGTTGGATTCATTCTCCTAAGCTTTAGTGAAATAATCCCCTCCTACTCTGGGAGGTATTCGTGTAATTTAAGAGCGGCTGAGGAGGGACGGCTGAAGATGAGAGGTGGGGGATGTGGATGTTGCAAGGCAAAGCAGTAGCCCTTTGTAGCTCTCTCCTGTGAGCACATGGCTGTCTTTCCTGCTGGTCCTGTATTGCTTGTCTCTCTTTCTCCCCTAACAGTTTTCACTTAATATTGCACAAGAATTGTTTCTCTGGACTAAGGTTTCACTCACTTAATCTGACTTCCTTCTACTCTCTGAAGATGACGAACTAGAGAGATCACAAAAAAGCAGACTGGGGGCAAAGGAAATTAAAATATGGTGGACCATTTCTGAAAAAAAAATGGTTCCACAAGATTCCAGATGACCCCAGTTCTGGGTTGCTGTGAGTTTTCCAGGCTGTATGGCCATGTTCCAAAGGCATTCTCTCCTGACCTTTTGCTCTCATCTATGGCAGGCATCCTCAGAGGTTGTGAGGTCTTTTGGAAACTAGGCAAGCGAGGTTTATATATCTGTGAAATGTCCAGGGTGGGAGAAAGAGCTCTTGTCTGCTTGAGGCAAGTGTGAAGCAGACAAGAGTTCTTTCTCCCACCCTGAACATGGCCATACAGCCCGGAAAACTCACAGTGACTCCGGCCATGAAAGCCTTTGACACCCCCAATTCTGTTTGGAAATCTCTGTTTCATAGATGAGGATTGGCACTAGATTGGCTTGTGGTTTTAAAGCAACTGCAGGAAATTTTATTGCACCTTCCAAAAAAGTTGCTATGTTATACGTATTTGCATCATCCCATTAAAAATTAACAAAGGCCTATGACTTTATTCTGATAAATCCAACCAATCTAAATCCAGTGTCATTTTCTGCATTCACGCGCACTCCTGCATCAACTCAAGGCTTCAAGCAACTGTTCCAGCTGGACTTACCAATCCTACTAATATCTCCGTTCAGTTTTCTCCAAATCAGTTATGGGGTATAAGGATCTTTTCCTGACATTTAGTACTTTGTGATGATGGAAACTAAGCCATGTAAATCTGTGTGCTGTGGGCAAATAGTTCTGCTAACCAGAATCAGGAGAGGAGGCTGATTAGCCTTCTGGGCTTCCCATCGCCTGGGCATTGTGTGCCACATAGTGCTGGGGGAGGGGAATTAACAAAAAAGAGAGGCTGCATTTGAAGAAGAAAAGGCACCAACTCAAAATATGGATTCTGTACCTCTTTGAAGGCAAAAGTTGTGAAGGGAGTAGTGCTAGTAGTAGGGAGAGAGCAGTATGATATGGTGTAAATAAATCACCACAGAAAATGGAGGGGAAGGTGATATGGCCAAAAGTGCTGGGTGTATCATATCCTTGGATAAAAATGTGTTCTGGGCATCAGTATCTTTTTCAGCCCCCTCCCCTCGTGTTTTCCATTCCCCCTTTCCTTGGTGCTGCCTTCTCCTTTTTGGTCTTCTGTACACAGTGGAATATGCTACCTAGGAGAAGAGAGCCGGAGTGGATGGCTTTTGTATGATTCTGCTGAAGCAGAGAGACTTGCTCCTCTTCAGAATGGTCCCCGGTCATTACCAGTGTCAGGCCAGGAGAATCTGTGTGATTACTTCTATGCTCCTTCTGAGTGGAACACTTAGCCAAAGTGTGCCAAAGCCATTTGTGTGGACTTCCCTCGCATGGCTCTGCTGGCCATCACCGCTCTCCCCATGAACTCACCTGTCGATGTCCAGATCTTGCTTGATGTCTCACTTCTGGAACGGAGGGAATGCTCTGCCCCCCAAAATATTTAGTTAGCAGCTGTTCACTTAAGTGGAATTGACTTTTTATTGGCTTTTCTCTATACGACTGCCACCAGCGAAGGCCGTTTCCTCCTTTCCTCTTCTCCGCCTGTCAGTTCCCTCTACATTCCTATCGGCAGCCTTTAGCTCTGATCAATACTAACCACTGTGTAACAGCTCACGCACGGCTGCTTTAGTTTGCATCGATCAGAGCGCTCTTCCAACAGGTAGCTGGCTCTTTGAGGCAATGACTTGAGATAACTTCAGGCTAATTCGTTACAGAGGATTTGAAAGAGGCCCCATGCCCTGTTTCAGAGAGAAGCCTGGATATCAGAAACCCGAGAACAATGTGCCCCTCGCTTGAAATTCTTCTCTTTCCGAAATGTCAGCATAATCCAAATCATTACATACACCATCAAGTCAAAACAGTTTGTTCTCAATGGCATTATTTTGGCTTTTGGCAAACTAGGAGGCACATTGTGCTAAGCAGGCCCTTTGTGTAGGATTTCCTGCGCATGCCAATCACATTTTTTTCTGTCCAGATCCATCACACCTGCCTTCCTGGGTTGCCTTTGGAGCAGACTTTATGTTTGGCACCTTAATTAACCAGCCAGGTTGATTGGCATAGGGTTGCTGCTCTTACTCAGGCCCAGCTGCCAATCCCTTAGAGGTCCATCAACCTGCTTTGGAGGGTGGCATTGAAGCTCCCAAAACACTTTCCTACAGATGGCTTTGCTGACTGAGAAGTCAAGTCATTGTACCCAGGGGATAATCCTAGGTGGGATTTTCTCATGTATCCTTGTGGCCAGAACACCTACCTCTGTCATACAGTAGGCACAAACTGCGAGTCTATTTCCTAAATGATACCATGTTTTTGAGCAAAGAATTCCTTTGGCTCCTGCTGTTTCCTTTCTGGACACCTGCAGCACAAAATAAGCCAATTTTTCAACCCCCATCAGTATTTCCCTTCTGGATGCCACACAAGGCATTTTGGAATGTGTGAATCTCCACAACCATTAGGGAAATGAGATTCATAACCTTTTTGAAAAATCACTGATCATTGGAAAGGCATGACCTTGTTAGAAGTCACAATCTTTGGAAAACTGATGTTCACCAGAATTCATGCAAGGCAAGTTGGTCTCTCAGCTGTTAAACTGATGTATCTAGGTATGTCTTTGAACTGCCAGGGACAAAGACATGCCAATACACAAAAACATATATATATATTCAGTAGAGTTTCAAAAGTGTACTTTGAAGTTGCCAAAAACATCTACCCTCCCTTAAATATATTTGCCTTTAAATCATATTCTCAAGAGACAAAACAGTCTTCTTAAAAAGTAACATAGTTCCCAAAACTTCACACATATAGCATACAGACACTTCATTTATAAATCCAGTTACAATAGGATTTTAAGTAGTTTCTCTGGGTAAATAATACAGGACATCTTCCTTAGAAACAATAGTCCATAACCCAGTGGAGTCTTTAAGCATACATCTGATTGAAGTCTAAACTGAAGTCACTGCTTCAGATGTAAACACATACTGACTTCTAAAAGTACACAGACGGCTTCTACTCTAAGAGTCTAATGGCTTCTACTTCCACTGAAGTCTAAAGCAAACTGTTCCAAAATTAACATGTCCAGACCTGATGACCTGATCACATGGTCTGCAGCCCCTCCCACAAAAAAGAGGTTTGGCAAAATTGCAAGCCAATACACACATACAATACAGCAAGCAATTATATACGTAACAGATAACTAGTGGAAGCTTAAAAAGGTTGCTATTTCCACCAAGCCAGGGGTCCCGCTGATCCCAAGTGCAAGTCCTTACAGAGACCAATTTACCTGGAAAAAGTTTCACACCCCTCCAAGGCAGCCACCCCCACTTGTCTAGAGGAATAACTGAAATATCATATATGTATTAGAAGTATTTCTGGTTGTTGCTTATGATGCTTGTTTTATTATTGTTTATGATGTTGTTTTTATGCTATTTTAATATTTTATTTGCCTTGTTTTAACTGTATGTTGTTTTGGACTTGGCCCCATGTAAGCCACCCCGAGTCCCTTCATGGAGATGGAGACGGGGTATAAAAATAAAGTTCTTCTTCTAACCAAGGTGACACATAGGCATTATATTGTCCAATTTCGCAGGATGCCTGAGTGGACTTCTTTGGGATGGAAGGCAGAGGGTGTTGCCATGGTATGAGGAGCAAGGGGTGACAAGCCAACTCAGCCTTGCCTTCTCCTTCTAGGATGGAAAGACTCTCGTCAAGGACCTGCCTGAAGAGATGTGCAGTCACTGAGTGCACGTTTCATTTGTCAGCTGGACAATCGATGCAGAAACAATTTCTTCATCTTTGGTGCGTTAGCCTTTACCAAAACTAAAGATGCTTTGACACAGTAAAGAGACTCGTCTGAAAAAATTCCCCTTGAAATTCACCAAAGAACCATTTTGCAGAAAAAACCCTCAGTGCCCATTTGGTCCTTTTGGCCCTGTGTGCCCTCCCTGGATCTTAAAGTCGTATGGAAAGAAAGAACCTAGAGAAGAACAGAAGGTCTCTGAGGAACATCAACAGGTAGGAATCACCGTGGTGCCATTTTTATTTCTTCCGACTGGTTTTATTATGTGTTGCTCTATCTCTCATGTGGAACATTTCTATAGATAGGCTGTAGAGAAATTGGTTAAAGAAGCATAGTAAACCCAGCCCCCTTGTATCCCTCTTGCAGCTTTGGCTTCCTGGGTTTATATTCAGGTGCTTAGCATGCCACCTTTGACTGGCATGTCCCTGCCACTTTCCTGACCCTCACCTCCGCCCTCCTTCAAGGAAAAGAAAGCACCAAGTTGTCAAATGACAACTTTAGAACTTTCCTGCTCTGTCAACTTCAGCAAAAACAAAACTTAAGTTTGCAAATACAATAAATCTCATTTCCTCTTCCTTTTTTTCCTTGTGAGGGTGTCAAAATTAGCAGCTTCAATAGAGGCAATAGATTGTTTACAGTGTTTGTGCCTTTCCTTGGGAGAATGCTGGTGAGTGGCATGGAACCACTCTGCCTTCAGCTGAACTAGTGATCCCTGTCCTCCCAGGTGCCCCCTCCATTTTGTGTCATTCCCAGCCCTGCCTTGCATGGGCTCCTTTGTGGTTGGGACTCATGGGCAGTGGTTCTGTGCTTATTTGGAGCCCTCCTAGGAATGTTTTAGAATCCAGGGAGACGGGTGATTTGAGCCCCTTCAGCTCCATTTTGTCAGCAGCGATAGCAAGTATGTGGAAGCTTTTCTGGTCTTCACATGTGTTGCTGAGCCTTCTCTCTTGCTATTTTGTATTTATACTACCACTTTTRCTCTAACTCACATTTTGTTGGAGTCGCACAATTTTTAGGTTTTGTTTGGTATTGTTGAGTGCCCCATGAGCAGGCCTGCAGCTGGGGGGCGGGGGGGGGGGAGGTTAAGGAATCAACACTCCTCAAAATGTTTCAGGTTTTTTTAAAAACTGATTTACTCATGAATTTTAACGGGTTAACCAATTCWCCAGTAAATTGGAGCCCCTGGTGATGCAATGGGTTAAACCCTTGTGCTGGCAGGACTGCTCACCGAAAGGTCAGCAATTCGAATCCAGGGAGCGGGATGCTCCAGCTTCTCATGTGAGGACATGAGAGAAGCCTCCCCACAGAATGGTAAAACATCCGGGCATCCCCTGTGCAAAGTCCTTGCAGATGGCCAGATCTCTCACACCAGAGGCGACTTGCCGTTTCTCAAGTTGCTCCTGACATGAAAAAAAGTATATGAGTAAACAAGGTCTGTTTTTAACCTGAAAATTTTTGCGCAGGGGTGGAGTGGTTGAATTCTTAGCCCATCGCCCACCCCGGCTACAGGCCTGTCTGTGAGTTAAGGCATCGGTGTCGCTCTTCAAAGAGCAAGTTAATCTGTGAAGGAGAAGATTCAACCCGCACAAGGACAGTTGTACAGTATTGTGGTTGTACAGATACCCTCGGGTGGACTTGATTGGAGCTTTACTTTCAGGACATGCTGGCCTTCCATTTGTTTGCCACACAGGACAATTGGCATCCCCTCAAAATATGCACCCAAGCAGAAGCAAGGCCTCCTCTCTGGGTGATGCCCTCTTCTGCCCTGAGAGAGGCTCAGTATGGGGGAAAGGTCCCATTGGCCCACTCCTCCATGCAAACTATCAGCATTTGAGAACTAGAGAAATACTACAGGATCCCAGAAGATGCAGTATGTTTTTTTTCTATACAGCTTTTGGTAAGTTCCCCCATGATATTCTCACAGAGAAACTGGAAGAAATATGGGCTGGATGGAGCTACTGTTAAGGAGGATTTGGAATTGGTTGGTGGACTGACCCAAAGGCTGCTCATCAGCATTTCTTTTATTTCTGAAGTGGCTAGCAGGGTGTTTCAGGGCTCTGCCCTGGGTCACTCTTGCTTTTAGCCAAGGTGCTTCTAGCTGTTTGCCTGGAAGAATTTATTTCATGGGAAGGGGCTTGTGTAGTTATGGGCTTGGAAGGCTGAAGTGCCTTATCCTTTCAATCTGTGGATAATATATGTGTGGATTTTGCGAGGCAGTCATAGTCATATTATTTTTCATTCCAAAGAGGTCCTTCCTTGCATGTGAGCACTCTGTTTGTCAAGTAGCTGCCAGCCTCTCCCCCCACCCCCCACCACCACCACTTTGATCCATCCAGTACTCACTTCCTTGGGGGGAAGGCTTGTTTCATCCTCTGACTCCCTCTCTCCTTCCTTCTCAAGGAACACTGCCCACAACTGGTTCTCTTTATTTTAATTCTCTGATGCTCCCTGGCTCTGGAAGCTCACTTTCACTCTAGTGGAGGATTCCTTTTGCTGAGACATGAGAGGAAGCAGAATGGCACTCCAGATCCCCCTCCTTAACATTTTGTGGCAGATCTATTGTATATAGCAGAATGGAATATTGCTCAGAGAAAGGACTTTGCCACTTCACTCACTCTGGCAAGATGCGTTTGGGCAAAATTATGAAAAGTCCAGCAAGAACTTATATTCAACCCATCCAAATGCGGATATTTGTATTTTAAATCCTAGCAAGGCAAGGAAGATGGGGCGTAGATTAATGCAATTAACTCAGGTGCTCTGGCATTTTACCCCCAATGGCTCTTCCCAAAGGGACATTGAGCCCTGTACTGGAGGGGATGCTCCTACTCAGATTTCCTTTAAGCAGCACCCAAACAAACAGCCTTCCATCTCCAACACATTTCAGAACAAACAGCTACAAGGTGGAAATGCAATGTGCCAGAACCCTCCCCTCTGCCTGCAAAGGCAGCAGCAGCAATTGGCCAGCCTTTACTTCCCTGGGCCTCTGGGTTTCCTGTTGGAGGGACTGTGGCCTTGGTCACTGGGTGAAAGTGCAAGGACTTCCCAGAAAACACCAGGAGGCCTGGAAACTCATTCTGGTTTCAGGAAGGAAGGAAGGAAGGAAGGAAGGAAGGAAGGAAGGAAGGAAGGAAGGAAGGAAGGAAGGAAGGAAGGAGTTGGGGAGAAGTCCTGCCTCCTTGCTGGCCCCCTGGGGCTGACGACAGAGATCCCTCCTTCGCTTGCCTGCCGGAAGCCATGGGAGGTGCCTCTTTTCCCAGGCATTGTGCAATTGGAGGGCCTGGTCAGCGGTGCTTCCTTAACAAGCCTTTCAGTGAGTCCTGCGTGTGACGCTCAGCCAATCCTGTAGCTCTGGCATAGGCTTGCTCCTCATGCTCTTGGCTGCAGGCGACTGAAAAACAGAGGAAGGCAGCCTCCAGAGCAGGCTGGCCTCCTTGCCTTGGGAGCCTTGAGGAAGGCAGGCCCCAGGTTGCTCTGGGTCGGCCAAGAGGACCACCTCTTTGGAGTCCAGCCAGTGAGGGCAGCAACTCTCTCTGACTCATTCCCCCATCCCAATCCCAATTCGGACAGGATAAAGGGGCCTTTCTTTTGCAAGGAATAAGGGAAGCAGCTACCTGGGACTAGGCCTTGGCAAATAAATAAATAAATAAATAAATACAGCCTTTCCCACCAAGTTGTTCGACACAGTCCCCAAGAGGCCCTTGCCTTTTAGTCCTTCACGCAAGAGGGGGGAGGCAGCTGTTGTTTCATTGTATTGTCGAAGGCTTTCATGGCCGGAATCACTGGGTTGTTGTGAGTTTTCTGGGCTGTATGGCCATGTTCCATGAACATGGCCATACAGCCCGGAAAACTCACAACAACCCACTGTTGTTTCATTGCTTCTGGGATGCTGCCTATTGAGACAGCCAGCCTTTTCTGTTGAAGGGATGAGGAAAAATCCCAAAGCCCCAAAATCTCTTCCATTAAGAGTAAGAAGAGTTCAAGATGGGAGCCTTTCAAAGGTCCAGAAAACGCTGACAGGCAGGAAAGGCAAAATTTCAGGACATGTACAGTAGAATCTTACTTATCCAACATAAACAGGCCTGCAGAACATTGGATAAGCAAAAATGTTGGGTAATAAGGGAGGATTAAGGAAAAGCCTATTAAAAGTCAAATTACATTATGATTTTACAAATCAAACACCAAAACATCATGTTTTACAACAAATTGTCAGAAAAAACAGTTCAATACATGGTAATGTTGTGTAGCAAAGACTGTATTTACAAATTTAGCACCAAAACAACACAATGTATTGAAACAGCTGTGGATCTGGGTGTGAAGCAGAATGTGTTGGATAATACAGAATGTTGGATAAGCGAAGGTTGGATAAGCGAGACCCTACTGTATTTTTTCTGAGAGGATAAAGCATGTCTTAAACAAAACATGCACAACTTTCCTTGGGAAAAGCAAGAAGGGGAGGGAACCCTCGCAATGGAGAACAAGGCCGGTTGGGGCTGGGGGAGGGGGGGGGGTTAGACTGCTGCTTGCTTCTCATCCAGCTGTATAGAAAGCACCAGGCCAGAACGCTGCACAGCGAAGGGTCCTAGCTTTTCTGTGCTAGGCAAGTGTCAGTGGATATGCAGCCTTTCTTTTTATCTCTTTTTATATTGTTTGGGGATTTTTTTAAAATAGCAAGTGGCTTTCTAGGGAACCAAACCTGATTGGAAACACTAACCATAAAGACTTATTTTAAAAAATAAGACTAAACATTGTATTTACAAATATAAATTTATTAGATATACGCTTACAAATGCCTGATTTGGGGTAAGAAATTTTTTACAATTGCCAACCAGAACAAAGAAATTAGAAAAATGCATTCCTTGTCAAAGTAACTGGTTCAAAACACTATACTACATAGGACACACTGGTAAACAGGAAGAATTTGCATTTGACTCTACAACTGGCTTAACAAGAGAAAATTAAGAGTGTTTTCCCTCTTCTGGAGTAAAAAACATTGTTTAGGCTGAGCGTATCCCGTCTGCTACGTACGTACCTACAGCTCCTCCCTTCCGTTGCCAAACTCAGCAGGGACACTGCACCGCTTCCTTTTCTTTTCGGTATCAACTAATGGGGAGGCCTTTACTGCTGTTCATCATGCAGCCATGGTTATCACAGATTTCAGCCATGGGGATATTAACTCGGACAATTTCAAGGCAGCATACAAAAAGTCGGTGCTGGCCTTTGAAACCTTGGGACAGGATGTCACTTTGCGAATAAACCTCCAGAGCGCTTGCCCTATTTGTGTTGGTCCTTCTTCATCCAGCTCCTTGCAAGTCCCCTTTGTCTTTTGCCAAAAGGCATATTTCAAGTACGAACCACTGAAAAAAGGGCATATTTCCCTTCTCTGCTCTTGGCATGCCATGAATTCCCCCTCTGTGGCTATAGCTGAAATTGTTGTTTTTCTTAGGATGATGGCTGTAGCATATGCAATGGCGATTATGATTTTTTAAAAATGCACTCAGGATTTGACTGTTTGTTTAAAGCAGGCATGACCAAACTTTGGCCCTCCAGATGTTTTGGACCCCCCCCCCCAAATCCCACCATTTCTAACAGCCTCAGGCCCTTTTGTTTTCCCCCTCAGCTGCTTAAGCGGCTGAGGAGGGAAAGGAAGGGGCCTGATGTTGTTAGGAATGGTGGGAATTGGAGTCCAAAACACCTGGAGGGCCGAAGTTTGTCCATGTCTGGTTTAAAGTCTTTGTTAAACTAATGTAACAGTTGAGATCTGCATGCTGGCAGGACTGGGCAAAGGAATGATGGAAAGGAAATCTCTTTGCTTGGTATAGGGAGTAACTAGCAATTCACAAAGCCCCATGTTTATCCTGTTCGAAAATATCCTGAAATTCTGGTGCTTGATGAGCTCAAGGAGATGGCTGAGATTAGTTTGCCTGCTGCTGGACAATCCAGCTGTTCCCAAGCTGGAACGTTTGGTAATTATCACAGTAAAAAGGGAAGTAGAGACAGTTCAGCTAACAAACAGAAGAATAAGGATGAGGAATTGCAAGGAGCACCCCCGCCCCTCCCGTGGCACAATGGGTTAAACCCTTGTGTTGACAGGACTGCTGACCGACAGGTTGGCAGTTCAAATCCAGGGAGCTTCTCACACCAGAAGTGACTTGCAGTTTCTCAAGTTGCTCCTGACATGGAAAAAAAGTATAACAGCTCATGCCTACTGCCGGGAGTGGCTTCATATATGCTAAAATAAGCACAAAGCTCTGAATTTTAGTCTTCCTGAAGAATCTGAAGAGCAAAGTCAGGATGCCACAAAAAAGACCTTCAACCTTAGTCTCACCGGGAAATGCAAGCTTCAGAGCAACTTTCCAAACAACACAAACCTCTAAAGGTAATCCAAATGGAAACAGATGTCCAGGATAGCTCTGTACAGCAAAATACACTCACAGGAAGAAGGCTTGTTTAACATTTGGATGTTCTGGCTTCAGCGTCGAGATGAGCACAGGGTTGTTCCCTGGAGTGCCTCTCCTCTCTTTTTTTCTGAGAGACAGACTGAGCCTGCCGGGGGCACTTGCGGTGGACCTCTTCCTTTCAGCCTGGTCCACCAATGGCCCCATCCATATGCTTCTCTACCGCTCCCCTGCCCCTCAGGACCTGCTCAGGCACACATTGTGAGGCTAGTGCGGTGGGCTTCAGGGCCGAGGCTTTCTCAGCCCAGAGCAGGGGCCCTAGCTGCTTTGATATCCATCCTGCTCAGCGAATAATGGCAGCAGCCTTTGTAGAGAGAAGGAAGCAGGCTGGCAATACTCCTTGGGGGTGCAACTGCCAAAGGGAGCCCAAGCGCAGTGTTGGCAGACCCTTACGCACAGGTCACTGGCCTGGCCTTTCAAGGCAAAAAGAGCAGAGAGCCTGGAGTAAACAGCCAGTTTTGGAGTCACAACAGGCCTGGTCTTCCCTCCTATACACATGCACATACACACTCTATCTGCAAAATGGAGGGCAAGCTGTCCGGTACTGACACAGCCTTTCACAAAACCTAGCCCAGCCTGGGAAGGCCAATGTCACACACCAAGAAGGTTGGACAGATGTTGATGTCAGAGCGGCCCACGGAATGGCAGGCTCCAGAGGCAAAACACAGCAGAAAGGGAGACTCCTGAGACACTTGCCCAACAGCCGGGAGGGAATCTGCTTGCCAATGGGGGAGCCTGAATATCAATCATCCACATCGATTCAAGATTCTCTCCTGCCCAATGGGTCTCGTGCCTATTTCCCACATTTATACTGAAACTGGCAGCCTTGATCTAAGCTTCAAAAGGCTCCAGAGAGCGGGATGTACATACGTGTAACGCGGCGCCTGCAGTCCTCCAGCTGTCAACATCTGTTCTTGGTATTCTGTTGCTAGGACTGGGCATCAGGTTAATGTCGGCTATGAAGCATTTCCCATCCGGTCCCCAAATGATCCAAGAGTGGGAAGCAGAGCTGAGGGGCACATCAGTATCCCCAGGGCACAGGCCATCCGTCCAGCCGAAGAAGAGGCCCCGCTCCACAAGTTCCAAGCTCAGCAATATAGAAGAAGCATTTCTTCGCCTGAGACTGTTTGGATTTCGCCTTTGTCCGGAAGGAAAAAAATCACAGTTAAATGGACAGTCAAAATAGGGGCACTATCCCTTCATCTTCTATATTCGGGTGTAAATTAAATCTTTGTTGTCCTTAATTTTGGAACCTTCTCAGATGCATCGTTCACTACAATTATTAGAATCAGTTTGAAACTGACCGCAGCGCAGCAAGGAGGCAACAAGGATCCCGAATTCGCCAACTGTGCCATATAACCAAAGCATCTGATCCATATTCTTTGCCTAGGAACAAATGAACTAGTGGTAATTTTCACAAGAATTCAAATGTTAACTGGTTAAAATGACACTTTCCTTTGTATTAATATTTTATACTACACCCGTGATAACAAACAAACGTGCAGAAGACACACAAAGAAAAATAGATCTGCGGCTCTGAAATAAAAAAATATAGAAAGATATCTTGGAAGCTTTGTATTTGATTGTCCTTAGCCTGCAAAAACACAGACTTGGGCAGGCACGGCTAGCTTGGCCCTCCAGGTGTTTTGGACTCCAACTCCCACCATTCCTAACAGCCTCGGGCCCTTTCCTTTTCCCCCTCAGCTGCATAAGCCGCATAAGCGGCTGAGGGGGAAAAGGAAGGGGCCCGAGGCTGTTAGGAATGGTGGGAGTTGGAGTCCAAAACACCTGGAGGGCCCAAATTTGCCCATACCTGGTCTAGGGTCAATCATTGCCCTGGGAATGGTTTGGAGTGGTCTTTAGATGCCTCTGGGGCCAGAGAATGCTCTTCTCTCACTCCCAGAAGCCCCGGACTTCCTCCCAGTTAGTTCCCCAACCTCCCACCAAGCCATCCCAGCCCTTTCTTGGTCTCAAGAAAGCCTTTACTTGCGTATAGAAGCTCTTCTGAGCCGGGCAGCCCTGCTGGCAAGGGCCCCTTCGGTCTATTCAGTGAAGCTGCAACCTTTTCTACCGATCTGCTTCCAGGAAGAAGGTCCCTAAGGTCTAAACACAGCTGGGGATGGAGGGGGGCCCTTTGGTCTGTTCAGCGGAGGCTTCCAGGAAAAAGGTCTCCAGGTCTAGACATGGCTGGGGACAGAGGGGTCACTCAGTCCACCAGTCACCTCCAAGGAGAAGGGCCAGGGCACAAGGGTGAGGAGGAGGTGGCTCTGGGCAGAGAATGAAGGCCTCCTGGTTGAGCCTGTGACTATTCCCTGGCCCTGCCAGGCTGAGGGGTCTTCCAGCAGGAGAAGGGGGTCTGCAGGCAAGAAGGCAGGCGGTCCCAAGGAGGCCTCCCCACCTCTACACACACACATAAACAAACTCTGCAGCATCCTCCTCCTCTTCTTGGGATCATCCCACAGGAGA